GCAAGTCTTTTGGTATCTATAGGATAGTCAGATACAAAGGCCTTTGATAGTTACTACCAAAGTTAGAATCAGGGATACATAATTTAGGGGCAATAAACAGAAATACATCTATATTTCTTGAATAGATTTCTCTAGGGTTTCTGGCAGTGGCAGTAAGTCAGTTGAGAATTACACTCTGATGGGGATCCCTGCTATAAATTACAGGAAGGGTCATATGCTATAGATTTGGGCATATAGATTTTAGGATGATCTTCAAGTTTTACACATATATTTTATATATAATATATATGCAGGTATATATTACATATACATAAATTGTATGGATTTGCATACTATTAAAGTTTTCTCACCCTAACAACTCAAATGAAAGGCATCATAATTAGCTGTCGGAATGTATAAGTCCCAGTGCCATTTTCACTGGTTTCTATAGCCTTCGATATGTAACTAACTTTTCTGAGTCTTGTTTCTTCACCTAAAAACTAGGTTATTCAATTAAATGTTTCATTACTTTGAGGTACTAATATGACATGCTTCTTGAATTCCTCTAATTTTCATGAATGCGAATCAATCTCAAGGTGTCATTTAGCCTATGAAATTTATCTCACCAGGATTAGATCTGGATAATCGCCATTGCTGGGTTCAACTTCAATCAAAGCCTTAGATTCCTGCACAAGGTTTTGACTCTCCTTCCTATTAATTTCCCAGGAAGAGGCCTGTGGCAATATATTAACAGGAAATATACAAGAGTTAGCAGCAATCACTGGTACATGCTAAACCACATGCATTCAGCCTCTATTCACTTCTGTAGAGAAGCAAACTTCTGGGGGCACCTGGGTGGCTCAGTCGGTTAAGCCTCTGCCTTCCGCTCAGCTCGTGATCTCAGGGACCCAGGATCGAGCCCCGCATTGGGCTCTCTTGAGTAGAGAGCCTGCTTCCCCCTCTCTCTCTGCCTGCCTCTCTGCCTTCTTGTGATCTGTCAAATAAATAAATAAAATCTTTAAAAAAATAAAATCTTTTAAAAAAAGAAGCAAATTTCTGTGGGAAATACGGAAAATTCAATTTCTGATCTTTGCCCTCAAGAAATATATGATTTAGGTAAGCACTTGTAAAAGTTAAAAAACAATACACAACAATAAAATAAGAGTATCATAAGGCAAATTAAGTATGAAATGAGTGCTGCAGACTACAAGCCTCAATAGTGAATCAAACGATCTTCATGAATTACTGCCCATACACTGAATAAATATGTCTCATGTGGATATACACATTGTTCTTAAAATTTAGGTAGATGTTGCTGTGGGGACATAAGATATACCTTCATTTCAAAATATCTATAATGGCTTTCTGTTATGTAGTTCTTAATCGGTAGATGGACAATGCCTATATTGTCTCTATGTGAGAGCTCTGTGTCATTTTTTAAAAAAAAGATGTCTTCATACTTGAAGAGATGGGAAACAGCTGGTATGAAAAATGTATGATGCAGGGAAAGGTCTCCTTTGACTGGAATGGCTACTAGTAGATGCTCAGCTTCTCGAGAGCAAGAACTGTGTCAACCTCTGCACCCTCAGCACCTGGCCCCACAGAAATGCTTAGCATATGTTTGTTCGCTGGAATGAATTAACGAAGGACACTGAGAGAACATTAAAGGGAATTAAAAGCTGTAGATGTAGGAAACAATAAGATTATTATTTTTACTGGGAGCCTTGCTTTCAGGAAAAGCTGTTGAGGATAAGGAAAGTGGAACCTTCTGAGAAACACAAGGAGGTGATAAAAACAATTCTCTAGGAAGAGCAATTAACTAACAATTAACAATTAATTAATCACCTGTGTTAATAAAGTTGAATTGTGGTACATTTAAGTTAAAACATTAGCTAATTCCAGAGCTACTCTTATCAAGGTTTTGGAGCACATTATAAGATTGACTCGGGCATATCTGTCTTCCTAATTCCATCTACTTAGGCTAATGTTAAAATTAATGATACTTCCCGTGCCTCCTCTGGTAGTGGTAATGCCCAGTGTGCTTACTGGACAGATTATTAGAAATTTACGGCAAATACTCCTCAAGTAATTGAAAGTTGTTTCAGTTGAGGTTTAAATTTTGGTTAAATTCATTTTTCAAATGTTACAGAATTCCAGTCTCCTGATCTGCCCCAATTCTAGATTTTTGTATAGAGTATCTTCTGAAGTGAAATTTTCTTGCATTTCCAAGAGTTGACATCCCCCTATCTTTACGTCTTCACATTCCACTTGCTAATCAGTCTATTCCGATCTGATTTCTACCCCGTTCACTCCAACAAAAACAATAAAATTCTTCTGAGATCACCCCATTACCTCTAAGTCACTAAATAAATGGACTTTTTTAGGCCTTTCAACGGAAGCTAGCCTCTCTGACTAACTCTCCTTGAACTGACATTTTCTACCTTTTGGTTTTAATGAGGAAACAAGCACCTGGCTTGTCCTCTTCCTGCCCAATCATTTCTTCACCATCACCTGGACACACTTACTCCCTACAGCTAGCCATTAGATGGTAAAATCCCTCAGGCTTCTGTCCAGTCTTTCTTCTCTTCTTACCCTTACTCCTCACTCAGCATGTCCTCTTTGAGGTCTCAAACTGATTTACCACCAACAGAACCAGCCACCTTCTAGAATTTTCTATTTCAAAGAACGGAGCCACCATCAAACCAGGTGCAGGGCCCAAAAATACTGTAGTCCTTGACATTCCCCTCTGTTTCACCTTCTGTACCTAATACATTGCCAGCACGGGTCAGCGTCTCCTCCTCAAGACAAACACAGAGGGAACAAATGCACCCCTCCTCTGATTGGCCGCCATCACCTCAGCCCAAGCTGCCAGTGTTTTCCCCTAGGAGACCACTGTTAATAGCCCCCTGACTGCTCCGCCCATATTCACCAGAGGCTTCCATACTCAGCTAATAATCTTCTCTAAAGGAAGATCTGATCATACCACCTCCTTTCAGTGGTGTCCCACTGCTTTTAGGATAAATGCAAAACCCCTTGTCAAAGCCTGTAGGACCTACATGGTTCTGGTCACTCCCTAAGCTTCTCACCCCACAGTCCCTTTCCATCTCTCCGCCCCACCAGAGCGTCCTTGTCTTCTTAAGGTACTCTGTATTCACCAGCATCCTTCTTTAGCGTATGTGTGCATCCTTAGGAAATGCTCTTCCTCTCTTTTTGCCAATTTAATTGGGATTCAATCCTAAAAATTCAGCCATTGCTTTCACAGGATTTTTTCATCACTTTGTCCCATTCAGTCCCTCCAGGCAGGATCAAATCCCTTATTATAAGTACTCATGCTACTAAGTCATTAAAAACTGCCACAGTAGCAGTTCACATTTGTCTAATTATTGGATTGTCTGTCTCCGTGTAAGTTTAATGCAACCAGGGACTGTATGTGGGTTTGCTCACAGTTAAATCCCCTGTAGTTGGCTAGCATACTGAGTGGCACTTAACAGATGATTTTATACACACACACCACACTAAGTGAATCTCTATAGTCTAAAATGTGTTATCTTAACACCAAGGTACTCTTCAACTTCTCAATCACTTATGTTTTTACAGCATAAAACCTACTCATAAAATATATCAACAAATCCCAAATCTTGAAATTGCCCAGTTAACGAGTGGAAATCAGGCTTAAAGGAGATAGGGCTATAAAATGACGTAACTACTTTTTATATTACATACATGCAGCATTTTGACATAGCAAAGGTTAAATAAATATCTTCTGAATATTTGAGCTTGTATGTATATAATTCAAAGTAATTATGACCAATAATTCTGTTGATTGTAGACAGTTCTTTTCCCTACAGTCTTGAAGAAAGATTTAGGGCCCAAACTTCAAAATTAGAGGGAACTGGTCCTCAGATATTTTAAGAGAATGAGCTACCAAAAAAAGGAATGAGAAATGCTACCTCCAGAAGTAATACGTTTCTGTCACTAAAGATTTTCTAGAGGAACCTATACACCATTTGCCAAAGACTTTACAAAAGAACGTGTGAGATATTTCTGCAGTGTAACAATGTGCAGAATAATTCCTTTAGAAAGAACCATGCCTAAAATATCTTGTCTCCCACAATGCTTAACACAGTATCTTTACACAGAGCAAAGTTCAGTAGATATTTGCTGATCAAATTAGTTTACGGCTTTCAGAGCCTACGGCAATTTATTTGAATATTTTCTCTGGTGGCCCATCTCTACCCTTTAAGAGTAAATTTAATTTGGGGAAATAGTAAAAAGGCATTAGAAATCAAACTTGATGAACAAGGCAGATGAGGTAGGCAATGAACGTTGGCTTATAAAAGATTTTAAATGGTGGTGAGATATTGTCTGTTATCATCCACCACTGAATCTGACATAGGTTAAATGACCACTGAATTGTAGGTATTCTTATTAACATATGCTAAATCTGAGAGCAAGTTCTCAAAAAGGGATTAAATAAGAATAATACTGTAAGAATGAAAGTGCAGCGATTCTTTTGAAAAAAACAAGCTCATTTGGAAATTATGGGGTGGTGCATTTGTTAAAATCAGTCCCACCACTTAAGTGTATTGTCAAGATTATATCCCATTTTTCCAGAACCTCAACTACTGGGTAAGTACCTATTATAAAATCTGGCTAAGAATTTTTGCTATAAAGCACTGAATGCAGAATCCTCCAGATTACAGGTTCATCCTATATGAATGTTTCTCTCAAATACAGATCTTAAATCCTTTTCCCATGCAGGCATTCTTAGGGCCATGTTAGTTGGTTGAGCATCACACAGTGCACTGATGTACTGGTATTAGCCTTCCGACGTTTCTTCCAAAAGAGAATGGGGAGGAAAAAAATAGAAATTGGGACCTTGTCCTGGAAACTCCACTGACAATACGCATGCTATAATTAGAGTGCTTTAAAAACGTGAAAATGAAATAGAACCTTTGCCCAGTGCTATTTCTGGAATAAGTGAATGACTATACATTTTGTGGATAAGAAAAGAAAAACACCTGGGACCTCTGGGCTGAGCTGACGTTTTCTGGCAGGGTGGCTGGACGTCTGGGCTGCTGAGGCTTTGCTTTCTTCTGTGGAGACTTCTTCATAATTTTAGTGTCTGTAATACATTCCACATCAGAGTCTGTCCCTTCTGTGTTTCTCTTCCAGCCTCTGTGGCTGACATGAAGCTCAAAGGAGGCAAGGGACCCCTGCTTCAGGTCATCGCCCCTAGGCCTGATTTTCTGAGTTACTGTATTATCCTGGAATAACAAAGAACATGTTTTCATTTTTGGGGAGCCAGCTTATTTATAATTATCATTTCCCTCAAAACCTTATGACATTAGGCGATATTTATTACTAATAAACACTTCAAAAACTTTAAAAAGCAGAAGTGTAGAAAATAGGCTTTAGCAAATATATACCACCGTAAGGTCTCACTCAGAATTTGATTCAGCAGAGGAGGCCTGAGCCAAGAAATCATCTAATTCTGGGATGCCTGGATGGCTCAGTCATCAAGCATCTGCCTTCGGCTCAGGTCATGATCCCAGGGTCCTGGGATTGAGCCCTGCTTCAGGCTCCTTGCTCCATGGGAAGCCTGTTCTCCCTGTCCTACTCCCCCTGCATATGTTCCCTCTCTCGCTGTCTCTCTCTCTGCCACATAAATAAATCTTAAAAACAAAACAAAACAGAAAAAAAAAAAAAACCTTCTCTGATTCTGAGGATGCAGAAGACTACAGACTGAGAACATAGTATGCTTCCTGACTTTCTCCCAACAGAGGTTTACTTGCCTTTGGTTCTCTGGAGCAAAAAGTAATCTAGCTATCAATCCTATCATCTGCATGTTAAGAAATAACTAAAATTGTAGTTTTCGGTATGTGTGTGCACATGTTTGTGTGTGATTGGTATAACTGAAAACCCCAAAGGTAAAAAAAAATATTCTAAAACTTCCATTTTAGATTGTAACAGACATTTGAGGAATATAATAGAACACAAAGGAACCACAAGAAACAATGTAGGAATTGCATATACAACATATTTCTAGGCAAATATATATCCACAGACTGAATCAATGTATCTTTCTATATATATTACATATATACATATATGCATACATAGCCATAGAAAATATGGAAAATACATTAAAATATTTAAAACGGTCATCACCTCCAGATAGTAAGACTACGGGTGACTTAAATTTTATTTATCTCTTATTTACTTTATTTTCTAAGTTTTTCCTATCACTCTAATAAGACAAAAAAATAATGGAAGTTAAAAATATGTGTTAGTGTTTCACTCTCTGAGCCTCACTAACCGTGGTGACATTTGGCCCTTGATAAAGTCTTACCCTTCATATGGGAAACATGACACAAATGGCTAAATCCTACTTTAATTACTCACCTTAGATGTTGAAGTTCGGCAGGTAATAGTAGACTCGGTGATCCTATTTGGTATAAACTGAGGCTTTTATGGGGGAAAAAATGGTTAGATGAATGTAAGTAAAAGAAACTTTCAATTGGAATATTACAATAATCCAATAGTCTTCATTTCTTAATGGCGTTTCAAGATTGCACACCTTCACTGATAACTGTTTAAGGGGTCCGTGGTAGTTTAGATCTATTGCAACACTGTTGTGATGACTGGTGACCGGATAAGATGAGAATGCAATGGTTTGTCAAACATCACAGATCAGATGTCTCCTGAGCAATTTCAGGAACCACTATATCCAACAGGCCTCCACAGCCCCTGTCTGCTTTCTCTGGAGGCCCTCTGTTCTGCACATGCAGGTCCCAGCATCTGGAATGAATCCTGACCTTCAGCAATAGCTCTAGTTCAGAGCTTGGGGCTGGAGTGTCAAGGCACATTTGAGGGCAGACTGGCCTCAACGGTGTCCCTGATACCAGGATGCTGCTTGTGCTCACAGGCGCAGCTGAACAGAGAGAGGAAGCATTTGTTCTGCCTGTAAAAGAAGTGCCTTTTAAGCTAATATTTTGATGGGATGATGGCCATGTTAAATTGATGAGACGTTCATGAAATACACGGAGAGAAGATAAAGAATAATACAGGCCCTACTGCCAGGCTCAGGTTCATTCCCCCTGGGATGTGAGCCTGGTTCGGGGTCTGCTCGGACCTCCTTTGTGGTAGAGCAACCATTCATGTTTACTGGACCACAAACACCTGTGTGGGAAACAGCTCAGTGGCCAGATTCTCTGGGACACAACATTTCCTTTCCTCTTATAAATACCTGACTCTGAAAATTGGGAGTCCTGACTGATGAAGGGTTGACTCTGTTCTGATGAAAATTTTTCTGAGATAGATGGCCTGCACAGATTTTGAAATAGCACCTTTTCTTCTGAGACCCAAAAGCCTCTTGGAACATCCTATAAAATTCACATATCTCTCAAGACAACCCTTCCAAAACAGAATTATTTTGCTTCTATACCTGCACCTGCCTTCAACCAGTACTTCTAATGCATTCCCCCTCCTGAGTAGTGACATCACCAAACATCCAGACACCAAAGCTAGGTTATCTTTGGTCCGTCATCACCTTCAACCCTCCACCTTATCAGTGACGAAGTCTTATAGATTTCTTCATTTAAATGTCTTTTAAATTTGGAATTTTCTCTAGCCTCAAGTCACCATATTGTTTTAAGGTTTTTACCATCTTTTGATTGAACTATTTTCTATAATCTTGTGTTACGTGCTTCTGCTCCCTTCCCCTTGGTCCCCCAGAGAAGAATTAATGCTTTATCTTCTATAACCCCATAACATTGTTTCTTTTTAGATGTTTATGCAGATAATATACTCACATGAAACAACACACATTTTTTAAAGTATATTTGGAAAACTCTCCGTACTACTCCATTCTTCATTTGACCAGTTCACATTCCACTGCTGTTGTTTTTCTGTTTATCTTTCCAGAGTTCTGTTTATAACTCATACAGAAGCATATATAAATAAGCTTTCCCTACCTTTTTTGAGTATACTATGAGTATACTACGCACACAGTCTATATCTTGCTTTTGCACAAAGGATACATCCTAGAGATCTTTATTAGCACTTAAAAAACTTCTTCATTTCCTTTTACAGATGCATCATATTCTAATAATGTACTGTTATATAAAAATTTATTTAACCAGACCTGCTGATAAACATTTAGATCTTCTCAACATTTCATTCTACACAGTATTTTATAATGACATATAAAATAGGTAATTTTGTAAATAGATAATTTTATATTTATGTATATATAATCAATTTCTAAAAGTGTAATTTCTAGATCAAAAGGTATATGCATTTGTAATTTTGATAGACAGTGTCCACTATCTCCACCAGGCTTTTTGGTGGCTCAGCATAGTCATCCTTGTGACTATTTCAAGAACAGTGATAAAAAGTACATTCTTTATTTTGAGAGTAGAGAGTATATATCAATTATGTATACATGAGTATTATATATTATTGATTGTTTAGATATTCGTAGGTTGAGGGTCAATTAAAATTTCTTATTATCAGCATTATTGACTCTTTTTCCATGTATCATTTGTAGCTTTTTGCTTTATGGAACTCAACACGATGTTAGCTAATATGAGAGATTTGTAATGGATACATCTTTATTATAAACTGAAGACTTTAGTCTAATTTAATGCCCTTCCTTGGTCATTTAATGTTTTTTTTCTCTTGAATTCCAAATTAATATTAGGTTGGACCCCTATTTGATTTTTGTACATCTGTTTGAGATCACATGTTCAATCCTTCTGAATTGCCATTTTATTTTTTTTTAGATATATTAGAATATAATTTGTAAACATTTGCTTTTATCATGAACAATGAAGTTTTTAAACTATCTAAAGTACAAAAAACAAAACAAAACAAACAAACAAAAAAAACTAAAGTACAAATGTTGCAAGGAGAAGCTAGACAATAAGCAGTGGATGTTACAGAAATATAATATATAATATAATACAAGTTTAATGTATAATTAGAATATTAAGTGGTTTCTGAGAATTACATTTTTTCATCTTTGAACCATTTCAAGGCAGTGAATTTCTCTATTCTCTTGGAAAATTTCTTTGGGGATAATCTTACAAGATTATTTTCAAATTTCCTTGAAATTATTTAAATATCACTTAACCTTACTTTTTTTTTTTCTGTTTCCTAAGAGACCTAGGCCTGTCAACTCTCCAATGCTAAATATCACTGATCTTCCTAAAAACCAGTATTTTTTTTCATTTCTTTTCAGCGTAACAGAATTCATTGTTTTTGTACCACACCCAGTCCTCCATGCAATATGTGCCCTCCTTAATACCCACCACCTGGTTCCCTCAACCTCTCACCCCCCGCCCCTTCAAATGCCTCAGATTATTTTTCAGAGTCCATAGTCTCTCATGGTTCACCTCCCCTTCCAATTTCCCTCAACTCCCTTGTCCTCTCCATCTCCCTATGTCCTCCATGTTATTTGTTATACTCCACAAATAAGTGAAACCATACTATACTTGACTCTCTCTGCTTGACTTATTTCACTCAGCATAATCTCTTCCAGATGGGCATCTTCTATACAGCACAGGATCAAGCTTTGCCTTGTGATGCAACCTCAAATTCCTCGTTATTTATTAAGGTAAAGTTTAGGCCATTTGCATTTATTGATACCATATATGTGGTTGGTATTAGCTGTCATATTATTTTGTTTTTATTAAAAATTTATCTTAAGTTTTTAATGATACATCCCATTTCTCTTGTTTTGTTTGGATACTTCTTCTGATACTATGGAGGATTTTTCTTTCCCCCCAAGGAGATACCATTACAATGATAATTTTATAAAACTCTTATTCTTAGTTCTTTCCATCTCTAGACAGTATCTATAAGTTTCCTACCCTGGATGATGATGAAATTTATTTTCTCTACCTTCTTTTCTCTACCTTCTTTTCTTCCACTATTTACTGGTATTCTCTTTCTTTGTATTTGCATCAGTACCAAAAAGTATCCTTAAATTGCTTCAATATCTCTCCATCTTTTTATAGGTAAAGCAAACAAATTACCTTTTACCTTCTTCCATCCTTGACTTTTTTTTTGGTTGAATTATTTCTACGTTGCCAGGGAATTTACATTCAGTTTGCTACCTAATGTTCCATATAGCTTAGCCTATAGTTTAACTATAGTTATGGTCTATAGCCTATAGTTAGATATAGTCAATGGCTAATTCCAGTTTTCTTGCTGTAGAATTTTCAGGTATCTCTTGGCTGGCTGAAGTTTGATCTTGTTTTCC